AAGCAAAGAAAGAAAGAAAAAAAAAGAGTAATTTTCAAAAATAAATAAGCAAGCAATTTCAGTGCGTCTACTGTTTGCATTTGTACTCAATTTATCTCTAAATTCCGTGTCAAATTGAAAGCGATCATGATCTCTCCACGGCTTCATTTTTTTTTAAGATTCCTTGACTTCATGGGAAATATAGTTAAACAGTTTCCTTCGGCTGCCTTCGACACATTGAATTCACAGCAGTTCTTCTAGATTATAAAAAATTATACCACGGTAACAAAAAAAAAAAAAAAAGAATTGTGCAAGACATAAAAATTATGTCACAGCAACATAAAACGTTTTGTGCAGAATATAAACATTTTGCCACAGTAACATAAAAAAAAATAACTTTTTGGTGCAAAATATAAGAATTTTTACTTTCCCACCAACGTTACGTCCTTGTGCCAGACTGTTGATAGAAACAGCAAGTTACAAGAGGCGCAAAATTTTAAATCAAGACAACCACTGCGTAAAATTTCAGAAGGAAAACATTTATTTACAATTTACACAATTACAAAAAAAGTTTGTACAAAATTTCAGTTCGACATTCCAACCACCTGAAGAAGGCCAGAGCGTGCAACAGCCGAAACGTCGTGATAAATATGGCAACAAAGTTGAGGACGATAGTCCGAACAATGCAAATAGTGTACATAATACCTCATCTCAGAAATATAGACAAATTTACATTATATATATATATATATATATATATATATATATATAGTAATTATATAATATATATATATATATAGTAATTATATAATATGGTAATCCATATGAATTTTCCAGGAGGATATAGATCCAGGGAGGGATCTATGTCAAAAGACAGAGCAAAATTATTATTATACCTACATGTAACCATCATTATTATTATAATGCCTTCATGTAACCATCAAGTCATTTCTCTAGTGTAACAAGCTAACGCTGTTTCGATAACTAATTTTTCAGCAAGACATAAATTACATCTATTTCCTTTTCCGTTGTTAGATTTCACTCTTACTATAATATCCCAGGTGATAAATGTTTTATTAGCACCATTCTTTGATTGTCAGAAATATTTAGAGAGAGCAGTGCAGTTTTATAAGTCAATAGAGGATGGTAGAAACGAAATTTCCAAGGATTTTCAGTAGAACCAAAATAAAATTAAACATCGTTACAGAAATATATGCTAGCTTGGTATACAATATTATCAGTCATAGATTCGCCGTTTAACGCACAGATCATATTATAGTTGCTGTTGTATTTATTTTAAAAAATAAGCGTTGCTTTAGTTGGAAATAATTTTTTTTATATAATGTTGTTATGTTGGGATATAGATTTATCGATGTTATTAAGGCAACTATAGCTGATCTTAACATTATTTTTTATTAAAACTTTGTTCATGTTGGTAAATAGTTAAAGAGAGCCGAGTTCGAATTCCTGTTGAATCCATTACATTCACTTATGTGCTAATACTCTTGGGAAAGATATGAATTCTCTTCTTCTTCCCGCAGCTATGGATAAGAAGCAAGATAGACTGGGTTCTATAGCCTTGGATGGCAAATGGTCTACCTCAGAAAGAATTGGCAACCTACTGCGGGAAAAAATCTGCCTCGTCAGTCATGTATCGAAAGATACATGATCGTCTAAGCGTGTATGAAGCATAGTGTTTCTGCTTATATTTTACATTCTTGCCCGTAATAGGAAAATTAGATGAGATTTTTCGTGAATTGAAGAAATGCTGGAAAAATCTGGCGAAGGACGTTGACTTACTGAAGACATTAGTCTATAGCATGCCACGAAGAATTAAGGCCGTTATTAAAGGAAAATGTTAGCCACCAAAATACTAAAACAGAGAGAGAGAGAGAGAGAGAGAGAGAAACGTTGGAAACAAAATAATAAAAAAAAATTTAAATATCCAACTGGTTTTCAGAAATTCTATCAGAAATGCTTTAAATCATTTTTTCAAACACACACAGACGCCATTAAAAATAATGTTGACTTTTTTTATTTGTTTAATATAATGTTACGTTTGGATATAGGTTTATCGATGTTATAGCTGCGAAAATAATGTAATTTTTGTTAAAATCTTTTTAGTTTCGCTGAATGGCTGACGGATTAAATTTAAGAAAATTCTTCCGATGTTATTTTGAACATTATGATTAAAAGGTGGCTTAAACTATATAATGGATTAAAAGGCGGATTAAACTATATAATGGATTAAAAGGTGGATTAAACTATATAATGGATTAAAAGGCGAATTAAATTATATAATGGATTAAAAGGTGGATTGAACTATATAATGTTACGCTTATGGTGTTTCTGTTTATGTTTTACGTGCTTTGTTTTTTTCTACATATTCTAAATTTATTTTATGATTGCTTAATTAATAAAGCCTTTATATATTTAATTGTATTATTATCAAATATTTCTTAACTTCTGGAGTTATCAGATAATCTAACTTGGACTGATTTATGTAAATTATCTAGAATATCATAATGTTGGTTTGTGTCTTTACTGATGTATCTATGGCTGTATAGATCTTTGTCATACGGTTTGTAATAACCAGTATTTAAGTCTAAGGTCATATCGAGAAAGTTGATCACTTTTAGCATTGGTGGTAGTGATAATATTTAGTTTCTGATCTTTGAAAGATTTTGTCAGTTTCTTTCTCAATCGGTCTATATTTTGTGGACTTGTTTTACACACACACGCACACATAAATACATAAATACATACATACATACATAATAAAATACTCTTTCCCGTCGGTTTCGACGTAAGAGGATCTGACAGCTTACTTTGATTCAGTTATGAAAGTTTGTGCGATAATCTTAACTGACATTTAAGACCCGCTAGTGATTTACAAAGGAGGCCACATATGGAGCAAGAGTGTGGGATGAGATCACTGTTAGATTGGCTGATCTTTTAGATCTTGCTCACCTTTCTTGAAGTTGTTTCAGACAAGCAGATTGAAAACTGCTGAGGCCACTGAAACAAGTTGATCTCCATTCTACCCGCACCAAGGCTAAGCACTCAAGGGTGTTATGTGGTATATTGACTGCTGACAAGTTATTTTTCAGCTTGTCTTTTTATCTTAGCCATGGGCGCCCTACATTCCTGTAGCCCTGATCTAACTGCCTGTACATTAGGATCTTGGGTATCCTGTCAGCAGACATTCTCAAGACATGATAAGTCCACCATAACTGAGACTGTATGATAAAAGTCTCGTTTCCTCCAATATTACACCTGTTAAACAGGTCTATGTTAGATGTCCTATCTTGAAGGTGAACTCCACAGATTGCAAGCAGACAGCTTATATATATATATATATATATATATATATATATATATATATATATATATGTGTGTGTGTGTGTGTGTGTGTGTATTTAGAAAAATAGAAAAAAAAAGAACACGTTAGGTAAATAATCCGAAGTTCTTTAGTATTTTTGTTTTTTATTTTTAAAAAACAGTGCTCAATACAAAACTAGAGCCTATATTAATAATTATTTTTTAAAAAAATATGATTCCTTCGCTACGTTCCAAAAATTTTGCTTGAGGATAAAACAGAGCTTGATACTTTAATTTAATTTAATTT